GTACAAGTATCTGAAGGGGGAGTGTCAAGAGGATGAGGCCAGCCTCTTCTCCGTGGTGCCCAGCAACAGGACAAGAGGCAATGGGCCGAAACTGAACCACAGGGAGTTCCATCTGAACCTGAGAAAAAACTTCTTCACTGTGAGGGTGACAGAGCATTGGACCAGGTTGCCCAGAGAGGTAGTGGAGTCTCCTTTGCTGGAGATATTCAAAACCTGTCTGGATGTGATCCTGGGCAATCTGCTCTAGGTGAGCCCCCCTCAGCAGGGAGGTTGGACTAGATGATCTCCAGAGGTCCCTTCCAACCTAAACGATTCTGTGATTCTGTGATTCTGTGACTCTCCAGTAGTGCCATGTCTCTCTTGTACTGGGGAGCCCAGAACTGGAGACAGGACTCCAGGAGAGGCCTCACCAGGGCTAGGTAGAGGGGGAAGATCACTTCCCTCGACCTGCTGGCAACACTCTGCCTAATGCACCCCAGGATGCCATTGAGCCAGCAATGTGCCCTTGTGGCCAAGAAGGTCATGGTTAACTTGTCCACCAGGACTCCCAGGTCCTTCTCGGCAGAGCTGCTTTCCAGCAGGTCAGCCTCTAGCCTGTACTGGTGCCTGGGGTTATTCTTCTCCAGATGCAGGACCCTGCACTTGTCTTTTTTGAACTCCATGAGGTTCCTCTCTACCCAACTCCCCAGCCTGTCCAGGTCCCTCTGAATGGCAGCAGCACCCTCTGGTGTGTCAGCCACTTCTCCCAGCTTTTTATCATCTGTTTTTGAATATAATATCAGTTAAAGCTGCAGAGCCTCAAGAATAATGACATTGAGAAACTGACACTTGATGGAAAAGACTGGAGCTTCAGTTAGATTACATATTCTGAGCATGGAACTGGAGAAGTGCAGTTCATGCCCTCCTGAATAATGCTCATGGATGTAGAGCAGCATGGAATTTCTGGCACATGCATATCAGAGAGAGTGGCGTACAGGGATTTCCTTTTGAAAAGCCTGTGTTTCTCCTAGGTAAATACTATCATCCCTCTGACAGGGCAGGACCCTGTATCATTAAGGTAGTGTGGTAGGCAACAATGATGAGAAAGAGCTGTCTCCAGTGGAAACTGCATATTGTGAATGCTCCTAGCTGAATATAGGAAGGGAGGCATTTAAACCGCAAATAGAGGTATGCAGTGCATGGATCATAGGTCTTCAGATATACTGCTGCTAAAAATGGATAAGCAGCATCACTCTTCTGAAACAAGAGCAGATTTTTGTATTAGAAGACATTTTAATATCAGTAATGTGCCTTTCATAGGCTATTCAGTAACGAAATGGGTTGAACAGGATAGGTTTGATGCAACACAATGCTATTGCCTTTCTTGTTATGAGTTTTGTTATTAAATCCCACTGTAAAATAGCAATGAAGCACACTCAGATCAAGTGGATCACGTGTTATTAGGCTCAAACAATGCTGAAATTAAGATGGAGTATTTTTGGATGTACTGGGCTGAATATTTTAAGAGAAATGTAGGTAGGTTTTCAAGGAGGAAACATAAGTTTGCAGGTACTTATTATTGAGCTAAAAAAAGACATTGCAAGTCAATAACAAAGTTTTCTATGGTAATAATAGAAAAACTGTCATTCATTTATTGTTTGTGGCTTCTTCAGTAGTTCTCTTACCTGTTAAAGAAGCAGTATTGGACATCTGCTTTAGATATTAGTTTCCAGTGTTTTAAGTAGCTGTACAAATTGTCCATCCTCCATGATTTATCAAATTTTTCTTGCTATTGGTATAAAAGCTACTTGCAGGCTGTAGTGTATGTTGTATATTGTACTGCTGAGCTTTCATTTTGCTGAGGAATACAAATGGGTAATTATTCTTCAAAGACCGAACTTTGACATAAAAGCATTTTTGAGAATAGCTTTCATTTCATGTCTTGTAGCACACTGTAGGTTATATGATGTTTGATTTTTTGGGTGTTTTTTTTTTTGTCAGGCTGCAGTAGCTCTTTCAGAAACTTTTGTAGCAAACATGCAAAAACAGTGCCTAGAAGGCAGCAGTATGATCCTTTTGATAGTCATATAAGAATAATATTCTGTAGATGAGAATAGTTTAGGGTTTTTGTAATGCTACTAGAGTGACTGTTAACACATTTTAAGCAGTGGTGAATTTCTGAATGCTAGCAATTAGATTAGTTTATGTAAGAGCATTTTTTAAATTATTGTTTCAGCATATGAATATGAGAGTTTTAGGCTTTTCAAATAATTCTTTGTGGATGCATTTGGTATTGAAAGATCATATTCCAATATCTGTATACTGATGTCATTGTTAGGTTGATAGTATTGCAGACCTTTTATGTTTAACTCTAATATAAACAGCATTATGTATCTAATGGGAATAGGAATGCTAGGGGAACGCTTTCCCAAGGGAACAGGAAATGCTACTTGTACGATTGAGTCAGTGCAGAACTGTAACTTCTTATGAAGTCACATGGTAAGTTGGAAAGTATATAACTCTCTCAAAGTACTTGTGGGAGTGCCAGGGGTCTAATGGGTAATGGGTTATCTTTTAGTTTGACAGTGCAATTATATTCCAGGATTCTAGGTGCCATTTCACAAAATCATCTTTTCTGTATGTCTTTTTTTGCCCCACAGTTGTGAATCAAAGAAAAGAATGCATCTGTACAAAGAATTACTTCATAACTCTTCAGTAGCCTCTATTAGTTAAATGTGATTCTGGGGTTTCTATTTAATAAATATACAAGATAGGCCTTTTCAAAAAATGAAGGGAAGGAGGAGAGGAGTGGGTGGTGGTGGTGGTGGGGGTCCTGGTTGTGTGTGTGTGAAGAAAAAGCTGAAGGAGACTTTGTAGAATTTCAGGGCTGCTGAGCTAAAAAAAAAACAATGTGCATAACTGAATACTAAAACTTCCTTTGAGGATTCACATTGTGACATCTTGCACTGCCTTGTCTTGCAAGTACCTCCTAAAGATCTGGTTTTGAAATGCTTGATGTGTCAAAGCTTTGTATTCTCTTATATCTTAAATGATTTCATTAGTCTCCTTCATTAATTTGACACACTATTTTTTGTATCATATTTGCACTAAAATCCTAAGTATATGATGTCTGATGGAGGTTTTATAATTTTACCTGAGAGTAGATAGATGAAAATGAGAGATATTTCTACATTGGTCACTCAAATTATTTAATTTTATTTTCTTACCCTTTCTAGTCTCTATCTCCTGATTCCTCTTCACCCTGGGGTGCTGAATCAAGTAGGCAACATCATCAGGATGTCTGCAGTACAGCAGAGCCCTCCACTAATAAAGAGGTAGTGCAATCTTTTTAAAAGCCACAGTCCTGTCTATTATTTATGCCTTTTTATTTTCTTTACCTCTTTGTACATGTGCAATCCCCTCTCTCCTACCAAAACAGCAACAAAAAGAAAAAGCTGTTTTGAAATTTTCTTGTTTGCCCATCTGACTGAATCCATAACATACTGTAAGACTGTTTGTGGTGGCATTCCTTAATCTGTGTTTGGCTGCCACAGCACTTGTTTAACAGGCTAGGGGGTATTGATTTACTGAGGAACAGCCACCAACATCACCTCTGTATTAGAGACAAGAGGAGGTAGCCCTTTTCCTTTTCTCTGCAGAATATCTTGCCCTAAAGAAAATAACATTTCTCAGCCAGGTGAATAGGCCTTTACAAATAAATAGGTAGTAATTTAATGCTGCATACTATTTTATTGTTAAGCAAACTGATCCATAGGAACAACTAAGTGATTTGTCAATAGCGTGTTTTTTTTTGTAGGGGCCTGTGCCTGGCAGCTTTCCACACTGCAATATTTCCACTGATAGAAGATGAAAAAAATGACTTTTTTCTTAAACTTTAATGTTAGATTTGTTAACAGAGATCTGTAAGCAATTAGGCACAGTTGCTGATAGATAACTTGTACTTAGCTATCAGCTAACAACATGATATCTTCTACAAATGAAGAAACTGATCTTCCGTAACCAGAAATATTGGTTGAAACTGAAACAGCAATTAGTCTATTCATTTTTTTTTCTTTATCATCTGGTGGAAAAAAGCCTGTAACCTGTACATATTTGTTTAAATGTGTGCTTGCATTTATAAGGTGATGGAAGCTTTCAGAAGACTTCAGAATTTTGTCCTTAATTTATCCTGTACTGAAGCCTTCAACAGTATTGGATTGTGTCATTGTTTTCATATGCAATATTCTTAGCTTGTTAAAGCTTCTGGTTTTCATCAGTTTACAGATGTAGTTGCTTTGTGAACACTCTAATGGCTGGCAGTTGTTAGACATTATTAAACTAACTCAAAGAAAAAAATGAACAAGATGCTACCCATTTTAGTTTTCAATATATGATCACATACAGTGTTAAAAGTAATAAACTTTCAGAGTAATTTCAGTCATATGTGTTGTGTGTGTGTGGTTTTTTTTTCCACCTAAATAAACAACACCGCATACTTTAGTACCTCCCTTACAAAAATAACAATGGCAAAGCAGCCTCATCATTTTTGGGAGACACTTTTAGGTCTTAACAAAACCTTTATTTAAAATATAAATTTTACAATTTTCAGTTGATGGACAAATATCTAACATTAATGACCTATGTTTTTCATTACTCATGGATATGTAAAATTAAAAATTATAGAATTCCTTTTTTTCAGTAACATTATCTGATGCCTTATTATTATTATAGTTTTATCAGAGTGTCTCTCAGCATGGGTAGTAAATGACAAAATTTTGTCACAGAATCACAGAATCACAGAATCGATTAGGTTGGAAGGGACCTCTGGAGATCATCTAGTCCAACCTCCCTGCTCAAGCAGGGTCACCTAGAGCAGATTGCCCAGGATCACATCCAGACAGGTTTTGAATATCTCCAGCAAAGGAGACTCCACTACCTCTCTGGGCAACCTGGTCCAATGCTCTGTCACCCTCACAGTGAAGAAGTTTTTTCTCAGGTTCAGATGGAACTCCCTGTGGTTCAGTTTCGGCCCATTGCCTCTTGTCCTGTTGCTGGGCACCACGGAGAAGAGGCTGGCCTCATCCTCTTGACACTCCCCCTTCAGATACTTGTACACGTTGATGATCTCCCCTCTCAATCTTCTCTTCTCCAGGCTGAACAGGCCCAGCTCTTGCAGTCTTTCTTCATAGGAGAGATGCTCCAGCCCTCTAATCATCTTGGTAGCCCTCCGCTGGACTCTCTCCAGGAGTGCCATGTCTCTCTTGTACTGGGGAGCCCAGAACTGGAGACAGCACTCCAGGTGAGGCCTCACCAGGGCTGAGTAGAGGGGCAGGATCACCTCCCTCGACCTGCTGGCAACACTCTGCCTAATGCACCCCAGGAGACCATTGGCCTTCTTGGCCACAAGGGCACACTGCTGGCTCATGTTTAACTTGTTGTCCACCAGCACTCCCAGGTCCTTCTCGGCAGAGCT